TTTGTAACTTCCTCAATTTCTTTCCTCAGTGTCCTATAGTTTTCCTAGTATAGGTCTTTTATCTCCTCGGTTAAATGTGTTCCTAGGTACTCTTTTGTTATTGCTGTTACAATAGTAAATGGGGTTGTTTTCTTAGTGTCTCTTTCTGACAATTCATTACTGGTGTATAAAAGGGCCATCAATTTCTGAATAGTGACTTTGTATCCCACTACTTTGCTGAATTCATTTATTATGTCAAGTAGTGTTCTGGTAGAGACAACAGGGTTTCTATGTACAATATCATGTTGTCTGTGAATAATGATAGTTTTACTTTGTCCTTTCCAATTTAGAAGACTTTTATTTCTTCTTGTCTGATTGATGTGGCTAGGACTCTCAGTACTATGTTGAATAAGGTTGGTGAAGGCAGATACCCCTGTCTTGTTCCTGATCTTAAGGGAAATGCTTTTAGTTTTTGTCCATTGAGTACAATGTGGCAGTAGGCTTTTTGTACATGGTATTTATTATGTTGAGGTATGATCCACTAATTTTCACTTTGGTGAGTGTTTTTATAACATATGAGTGCTGGGTTTTATCAAATGCTTTTTCTATACTATTGATATGAACATGTGATTTTTATCTTTCATTTTGTTTATGTGATATATCACATTTATTAGATTTCAGATAATGTACCATCCTTGAAACCCTGGAATAAAATCCCACGTGATCATGATATATGATTTTATTTTATTTTTTTAAATATCAGCAAGCTGTATCCAGTTTGCTGATATTTTGTGGATGATTTTAGTATCTATGTTCATCAGAGTTGTTGGCCTCTATTTTTTTTCTCTGTTTTGTCTTTACCTGGTTTTGGAATTAGATAATACTGACCTCATGAAAGGACATTGGGAGTGTTCCCTCTTCTTGAATTTTTTGGAATAGTTTGAGTTTGTAGCTGTTAGTTCTTTGAATGTTTGGTAAATTTTGCCTGTGGAGCCATCTGGTCCAGGGCTTTTATGTGCCAGGGGTTTATTTTTTAACTGCTTTGATTTGAGTAGTTGTTATCAGTCTATTCAGGTTTTCTGCTTTTTCCTGATTCAGTTTTGGTAGCTTAACTGTTTCTACAAATTTATATATTTTGACCAGCTTGTTCAATTTCTTAGTATATAGTTGTTCTTAGTTATTTCTTACAATCCTCTGTATTTCCCTGGTATCTGTTGTTACTTCTCCTCTTTCATTTCTGATTTTGTTTATTTGGGCCTTCTATCTTTGTTTTCTGATTAGTCTTCTTAAAGGTTTGTCAGTTTTGTTTATATTTTCAAAGAACAACTTCCTGGATTCATTAATAGTTTTAACTGCTTTTTTAGTCACTATGTTATTTCTGCTCTGGAATTGATTATTAAGTTCTTCTGTTTACTCTGGTCTTTGTTTATTGTTGTTTATCTAGCTCTTTTAGGTATAATTTTAGGTTGTTCATTTGAGTTTTTTCTATCTTTTTTTAGGTAGGCTATAGTCTTCCTTCTAAGGACTGCTCTCACTATTTTTCATAGGTTTTGAGTTCTTGTATGTTCATTTTTATTTTTTCCAGGTACATTTTTATTTGTTCCTTGATCTAATTGTTAACCCAGTTATATTATTTAATATCATGTTATTTAGCCTTTATGCATTTGAATCATTTTGAGATTTTTTAAATTATATTTTAATTTATTTTTTCAAATACATTTGTCTCTGCCTCCCCCCACCACTTTCCCTTGCCCCCTCTCTCCTTCCCTCCCTCAGCTCTTCCCCTTTGGTTTTGTCCATGAGTTCTTGCTATATGTTCCTTGACTTTCCCCTTCCCTTCCTTTTCCCCGCCCCCCTTCCCTCTTGTCTCTGTTGATTTCTTTTCCTTTCAGTGTTGCTGGTCTTATTTTCCTTGCTTCTTTGTATTGTTGGTTAGGTTCCACTTATAGGTGAGATCATATGGTATTTGTCTTTCGCCCCCTGGCTTATTTCGCTTAGCATAATGCTCTCCAGTTCCATCCATGCTGTCACAAAGTTTAGTAGTTCTTTTTTGCTTTCTGCTGTGTAGTATTCCATTGTGTATATGTACCATAATTCTTTGATCCAATCATCTACTGATGGGCATTTAGGTTGCTTCCAACACTTGGCTATTGTAAATTGTGCTGCTATGAACATTGGGGTGCATAGGTTCTTTTGTATTGGCGTTTTGGTATTCTTAGGGTATAGTCCCAGCAGGACTATATGGGCATCTAATATTTGACAAAGGGGGCAGAAGCATCAAATGGAGCAATAATAGCCTCTTCAAGAAATGGTGTTGGGAGAGCTGGATGGCTACATGCAAAAAATTGAAATAGGATCATCAGCTGACACCATACACAAAAATAAACTCAAGATGGATAAAAGACTTAAATATAAGTCACAACACCATATAAGTCCTAGAGGAGAACATTGGCAGGAAACTCTCAGATATCCCACGCAGCGATTTTTTCACTGATATGTCTCCTAAAGCAAGGGACATAAAGAAAAGAATAAACAAGTGGGACCTCATCAAAATAAGGAGCTTCTGCACGGCTAAAGAAAACATCAGCAAAATGAAAAGGGAGCCAACTCTATGGGAAAATATATTCGCTAATGATACATCAGATAGAGTTTTGATCTCCAAGATATATAAAGAACTCACTCGACTCCACTCCAAGAAGACAAACGATCCAATCAAAAAATGTCTCTCCATTTTAGCTGTTTCTTTTTGTTTGTTTCTGTGTATTAGATATACTTGACTTTCTGTCTTGTTGGGTGGGCTTATGTGGTAGGAGTCCTGTGGGACCCAGTGGTGCAGTCTCCTTGACCTTCTGATCTGGCTGCTCTATGAATGTCCTTTTGTGGGGGTTATGTGAGTTCTCCTGTTGTGTTTGGGTTCTGAATATTGTTGACTTTGGCTTGGTGACTGAAAGGCTCAACCTCTACTACTTTTATGCTGTTGGACAGATGGTATCAGAAAAAAGCAAAACAACACACACAAACAAAATTAAAACAATCAAGCCCCCATAACAACAGCAATATCAACAACAAAATATATGAAAATAATAAAAGTGGATAGAGAAATGGAATATTCGGGAAAGGAGAAAAAATAAACGATAAAAGACCAAAGCACAGAAAAGTAATTATGGGAGGAGAAAAAGGAAGAGAGCTAATACAAATAATGAAATGAAAGAGGAAAATAGGAAAAAGGAGCAAAGAGAAAGAATAACAATGAGAAAAAATAAGAAGGGAACAATAGGGTGATCAAAGGTAACATTAAAATGAAAGATAAGAAAGAAAAATATAGCAATAAAAGTAGAAGAAAAAGAAAAAATAGAAAAATAATAAAACGGCTATGGAAAATAATGAAAAGAACAAAGTAAAATTTGTCTCAGCACACTTTAGTGCTTGCCTGCTAGCTTCTCACTTTGGATATGGCTCTGATGTTGTCTGAGGCTAGTGTATGCCAGTGTCAGGTGCTGTTCAGGTCAAGCCTTCGACAGCCTGTTTGAAGCTACAAGTGATCCACAGTTTGTGGCTGATTTCTCCAGGCCTGACTGTGCCCATATTGGGCCAAGCTGTTCTGAAAAGCCACTAGGTCCAGGGTTGTGTCAAGAAACAACTCAAGTCACTGCAGGATCCATTTCTGCCTCTGCTGCCTGCTGGCCTGCTGGCCTGCTGTCAGTTTTAGACTTGTCACAGAACTGGCTGTTTCTGAGAGGGCTTCTGGTAGAATCAGAGGGGATCGTAATCCTGGATATTCTGTGACAAGTGTCTTTCAGACTCCAGGGAAGATTTTGGGGACATTCCCTTGGCCTGACTTTACCACTCTTAGTTTGTCTGGGATTTTTGTCTTTAACAGGACAGGGCCCCTAGTAGGCTAATGGGTAAGGTCTCCATAGCCCAGACATTATGTCTGCCAGAAACTGAGAGGATGTTTCTATGGCTCATCCATGAGGGGGAAGCACCAGTCCATTTCCTGGGAAAGTGTATTGTATGGCTGCACTCTAGCTCATCTCTGGCATCCCTTTAGTCTGCATATGGTATAGTCTGCATATAGAAGATATAAAGTAAAAAAAGATATAAAGGAAAAAAGCTCTCTCCTCAGTAGAGGTTAAGATGCAGGATGGGAGAAAAGAAAGAAGAAAAAACAGACAAAACAAAAAGAAAAACAGAACTAAACAAAAAGTAAGGAAAAAAAAAAAGCAGAGGGGGTCAAGCAGGATTCCTGAGGGTGAGGGGAGCAACATCCCATAGGATATGGTAATTGTTTTTCTCCTGGGATGGGCTTGTTTTTCTCAAGAAAGATGACTGCTGCAGACTCCAGATATATCCCTGTACAGAAAACCCCACAGCTGCTCCCTCGTGTTCAAAACTATTTTGAAATGGTTCCTAATATCTACCTTTGGAGCTTTAATAAGGACATAAATGTAAATTAATTGTGACCCATAAAATATATTTAAATCCATGAGTTGTAATTGTACTAAGAATATCACATTGGTCACTTCCAGAAGACTTAGGAAATCAATTCATTATTTTATTTTTAAATGAGTGCTCTTTTATTTTTCTTTTGCTTTCAGGTAATAGTCAAAGACCCAATCAATCTCTCTTGTCCTAGAGGAGCATCTGAAGTACTTTGTTTCAGATAATTCAGCAATTCCTTGTTATTTCAGAGAATTGTATGTGTTAAAGTTAATTAAATGTAATGCTTATAAATTAAATGTATAGTATAATCCATTTATTTTTCTAAAATTACCATAAAATTTATCTGTACATATGGATAGAAAGACATTTGAAATGATATCAAATTATGGTACTTTCTTGGTTGTGAAATATGAGAATTGTGTTTTTTACTTTACTTACTTCTTTATACATTTACAGATTGCTTGATTTTAATAGAATACCTTTTGAAAGTAGCAATGATATATCAACAAATAGAGAAAATAATTTTAAATGCTTTCTATAGAAAAAAATAATTTTCATGTACTTCATGTGTCCAACAGGAGGATCTAATCAGTGTCTGCTGGACAGGGGCTATGATCACAGGCAATTAACTAAACTGAGGGCTCTACATAAAGAACATCACTCTAAGGATGTCATCAGATGAAGGACAATACAGGTAATTCAGGTGCAACTCTCTCCATGTGTCCAAGCAAAGATTAAAAATATTTGTTACATCAATGCTTTTTAAACACTTTTTATACTCAGGGGATCACTGGATCATCTTTCTTTATCTTTATCTCTCTCACTCTCTCTCTCTCTTTTTCTTTTTTTCTTTCTTTCTTTATTTATTTTTAAATACATTTGTCTCTGCCTTCCCCACACCACTTTCCCTTGCCCCCTCCCTCCTTCCCTCCCTCAACTCTTCCCCTTTGGTTTTGTCCATGAGTCCTTGCTATATCTTCCTTGACTTTCCTCTTCCTTTCCTTTTCCCCGCCTCCCCTTCCCTCCTTCCCTCTTGTCTCTGTTGATTTCTTTTCCTTTCAGTGTTGCTGGTCATATTTTCCTTGCATCTTTGTATTGTTGGTTAGGTTCCGCTTATATGTGAGATCATATGGTATTTGTCTTTCGCCCCCTGGCTTATTTCGCTTACCATGATGCTCTCCAGTTCCATCCATGCTGTCGCAAAGTTTAGTAGTTCTTTTTTGCTTTCTGCTGTGTAGTATTCCATTGTGTAAATGTACCATAATTTTTTGATCCAATCATCTACTGATGGACACTTAGGTTGCTTCCAACACTTGGCTATTGTAAATTGTGCTGCTATGAACATTGGGGTGCATAGGTTCTTTCGTATTGGCGTTTTGGTTTTCTTAGGGTGTATTTCCAGCAGGGGAATCACTGGATCAAAAGGCAGAGGAGAACATTGGCAGGAAACTCTCAGATATCCCTCGCAGCAATTTTTTCACTGATATGTCTCCTAAAACAAGGGACATAAAGGAAAAAATAAAGAAGTGGGACCTCATCAAAATAAGAAGCTTCTGCACGGCTAGAGAAAACATCAGCAAAATGAAAAGGGAGCCAACCCTATGGGAAAATATATTCGCTAATGATACATCAGATAGAGGTTTGATCTCCAAGATATATAAAGAACTCACTTGACTCCACTCCAAGAAGACAAACGATCCAATCAAAAAATGGGCAAAGGACCTGGGCAGATGCTTTTCCAAGGAGGAGACACAGAGGGCCCAGAGGCATTTGAAAGGATGCTCAGCATCACTAGCCATCAGAGAAATGCAGATCAAAACCACCATAAGGTACCACCTCACACCGGTCACAATGGCCATCATAAACAGATCCACAAACAACAGGTGCTGGCGAGGCTGTGGACAAAAGGGAACCCTAGTACACTGTTGGTGGGAATGCAGACTGGTACAGCCACTGTGGAAGGCGGTGTGGAGTTTCCTCTTTCTTTCTTTTGTGATGTTAAACAAATTTTCATGTTCCTCTCAACCTTCATTTGCATAATCAATGTTGCATTATGCAACATTGCATAAATGTTATTTAGGTAATTTGCCCTTTTTTTCAATAGGATTTTTTTAGCTCTTTTTGTAGGTTTTATTATTTTAAATATATAAATCATGTTTATTCTATTATGTTTTTCTCAACTTTTCCCCCATTATCTGCTCTACCCACCCCACCACCACCCCCTGCTCCCACAGTCAATTCCCATTCTGTTGTCCATGTCCATGGGTCATTCATACTTGTTCTTTGTCTAGTCCCTTCCCCTTCTTTCCACCATTGTCCTCTTTCCCCATCCCCTCTGGTCACTTTCAGTCTTTTCCATGTTTCCATGCCTGTGGTTTATTTAGTACATTAGTTTATTTTGTTGAGTAGAGTCCACTTATAGGTGAGATCATATGGTATTTGTCTTTCACCAACTGGCTTATTTCACTTAGCATAATATTCTCCAGTTCCATCCATGTTGTTGCAAAAGGTAGGTGTTCCATCTTTCTTTCTTTCTTCCTTCCTTCCTTCATTTCTTTCTTTCTCTTTCTGTCTTTTCTTTCTTTCTTTCTTTCTCCCTCTCTCTCTCTTTCTTTCTTTCTTAAATGCAGATTGATTATTATTTTTTAAATGTCAAAGTTAATCAAAAATATTAAGAGAGACAAAGGGGCACAGATTCTGGGGAAGGATGTGGAGACCATGTGGGAAGGAAAGGGGAGAAAGGACTCTTGCTAATGGGCTGTGAGAAGGTGCAATGTGGTTTTGGACTAAGAACTGGAGTTTGTGGCGACAGAGCTGATGGTGCTGGGAACCGCGAGAGGCCTGCCTAGCCAAGCCCCGGACTTCCGTTCTTTTTCACCTGAAGGACAGTACCCCTGACTGGGCTGTCTGAGCAAGAGGGGGAAAAGAAAAAATGAAAAAAATAAAAGATTTTTGTGAAGAATTCGGAAAAAAGATGGCGGAGGAGTGAAAGGGAGTCACACTGACCTCCTCTCAAAACCAAACTGGAATTGCAACTAAATAATGGAGTAATCACCTGGAAAGCAGTGGAGCGATAGTGGGAGAGGAGCCTTGGTGCCGCGGACAGCGGATTCGACTCTCACACATCCCAACGGGTGAGAATTGCGGTGGAGGCTCGAGAGGGTGGGCTGGGTGCGCACGGGCACTGGCACCAGAGGGACATTGAAACAGCCAGTTAGCGTCCCCCCGGGAAGAACGGGGTCTGAATCATAAACAGGAACCCCTAAACTACAGCCGCTAAAGCCGAGAAAATACAGACAAAACGCAACCCCAAAAAGCTTAGGGGCACTCTCTGCCAGAGACAAGTGGCTGGGGATGCAAAAAGACATTTAAAGGGCAAACGCAAAAGTTGCAGCGGCAGCCACCCTCCTTGATCGCTGGGTACAGGCGGCAGCAGGGTGGGCTGGTGCCTGGGAAAAGACTGGTGAGGAAAAATTTGTGAAGAGAACTGACTCTGCGGCCGGTGGAGCCCGGGTGATAACGCACTTCCCACTCTGCAGCTACCATCTCGCTCAGGCATAAGGGAATCAATTAACCTGCCTTTTGTGCGCTCCGCACACAGCTTGTGCGCCTGTGACCTGCGGGGCTGAGTGCAGACTGTCTGGGAGAGCCTTGAGGAGAGACTGGAGACAGTGGCGTTGGGGAAAGAACGGGAGGAGGAACCGGGGAGTCCCGACTCCCTCCCCGTTCGGTAGTCTCCATTGTGGGCTGGAAAGGCGCGACCCCAAAGAGGCAGAAGCGGGGCGCGCATGAACCAGACTGCCTGCGATTGAAACGCAGTCCGCACAGGGGTTGGATCCTCAGCCGAAGGGGACACAGAACTGCCCAGAGGCCCCTGAGGGGAGACTAGAAACGGAGGCATTGGGGAAAGAACGGGAGGAGGAACCGGGGAGTCCTGACTCCTTCTCCTTGCCGTAATCTCCATTGCGCGGGAAGAGGCCACACCCCCAAAGAGCCAAAAGCCGAAAAGCCAACATAGACACCCCCAAAACACCCAGAGCAGGCGCGCACACTTGCGCCGAGTGACTGGCGAGGGTTGGCGAGCGTGTGTATGACCCACCCGGGCTGGCAAACGCTTGCACCTGCCGGCAAGGCCTCACACAGACTGGCACCCATACGGCCTGCGAGGGATTGCACAGAGGGGCAAGGGCAGGCGTAAATTGACCCGCCCGCCGCGATTGCAGAGCGGCCCACAAAATAAGTAGAGCTGCCCAGAGTCCCTGGAGGAGAGACCAGAAACAGGATTAACCGGAGAGCTGATTTCCTCCCATTTCCATAGTCCCCATTTGGCGAGGGCAAGCAACGCACCCAAAGAGCCAAAAGCGGGGAAAACACACAATAGAAGACTCTAAACTGACCAGTGCCGCGAAGCTCGCGTGCCAGGGAGGTCAGATGAGCACGGGAGGTCGCGAATAAGCCCTCTGGTCTGGGGCAAACACATGCGAGCCCAGGCAGGTGGGGGACCCTGCCGCGCTGGGAACGCGCTCAAGGAGCTCTCGTGAGAGCGCAGAGAGATCCCAAAAAATAGCCCAGCCCTGACCGAAGGGGTCACAGAGCTGTTCCAAGCAGGAGTCAGACACAGGCATTAGACTCCTGAAAGGCTCAAACAAACAACCCAAGGCCCTATAGGGTCAACAACTGACATCATCAGAGGCAAGCCCAGAAAGAAAAGTAAAGGACAAAAATACTTAACCGACTCTCACAAAAATGGGAAGAAAAAGAAGTTCTCCCCAAATGAGTGGAAAAGGGGACTCCCCACAGAGAGAGCTCAATGAAATAGAGGCAAGGGAACTATCAGATATGGAATTTAAAACAATGGTTCTAAGGAAGCTCAATGAGCTCAGCCAGCTCAAAGAGAACTATGAGAAACTGCAGAGAAACTATCAGGATCTTACAGCAAACTATATCAGCCTGGAAAAGGACATAGAAACTATCAAGAAGACACAAGAGGATATGAAGAATACCATTTCTGAATTGAAGAACACAGTAGAAGGAATCCAAAGCAGGCTGGATGAAGCTGAGGATCGAATCAGTGAGATGGAGGATAAGGTAGAAAAAAGCTCCCAGAAAGAGCAAGAAATGGAAAAACGGCTCAAAAAGAATGAAGAAGCATTTAGGGAAATGCAGGACAACCTGAAACGCAATAATATCCGTATAATAGGGATACCAGAAGGAGAAGAAGAGGAGCAAGGGATAGAGAACCTCCTCGAAAAAGTAATGATGGAAAATTTCCCTAATTTGAGGAGAGAAAGGCTCTCATGGATCCAGGAGGCACAGAGGACCCCACTCAAGAAGGACCCAAGGAGGTCCACTCCAAGACACATCATCATTAAAATGGCAAATGTCAAAGACAAAGAGAGAATCCTGAAGGCAGCAAGGGAGAAGGAGAAAGTAACATACAAGGGGGCCCCGATACGCCTAGGAGCTGACTTCTCAACAGAAACACTCCAAGCCAGAAGGGAATGGCAACAAATATTCCAAGCCATGAAAAGCAAGGGCCTACAGCCAAGGCTGCTCTACCCAGCTAGGCTCTCCATTAAAATAGAAGGAGAAATACGGAGTTTCCCAGACAAAAGAAAGCTAAAAGAATACATCTCTACCAAACCAGCACTCCAAGATATGCTAAGGGGACTGGTTTAAGCAGATGAAGGAAAA